GGAAGAGGAGAGGGAAAGGTGGAAAAAGAAAAGGGAAAGGAAGAAGAAACAAAGGAAAGAACATTCTCCGCTTTTGAGGTTGAAGACGGGAGAATTTATATATATTTTTTTTTAGAGAAGAAAATCTGGGGAAGAATAAACTTTCTATTGATGGTGTGAAAAAAAAAAAGAATGGGAGAAAGAAGAATATAAAGAGGGGGATGGAAGAAGGGTTTAAGACATGGAGAAAGAGGAAAATAATGGAGTGAGCATAGGAGTAGAAGAGAAAAAGAGAAAGGGAATGAGGAAGCCGAAGACATTGAGGAATATAGAAGAAGGGCAGAAGAACTAAATTTAAAGAAGAGGAACAAGAAAGAGGGACGTAACAAAGAAAGAGAAAAGAGCAGAACAGAGAACAACCCCCAGAAAGAAACAAAGAAAGACCAAGAGAAATGACAGACGAACGAATTTTAAAGAAAAGAGGAGAGAGAGGAAGGAGAGAGAGAGAGAGAGAGAGAGAGAGAGAGAGAGAGAGAGAGAGAGACGAAGAGAGAAGACAGACAGAGAGAGAACGAGAGAGAGAGAGAGAGAGGACAAAGGAGAAACGAGAAAGAGAGGGAGAGGCTCATAAACCCATCTAGCGAGCGTAAGAGCAAGCTTGTGGGCATCGCAGGAACAACGCCTCACTTTCTCCTTATTTCTCATTTGGCGTGAGAAGTGGCTGAAGTTTTCCTCCCGAAACTTCAAGCCAATTTAATGCATCTATAGTCAAGTGCGGGCAAGAGTTGTAAGGAAAAGATCTCGCTTTTTTTTTTTTTTTTTTTTTTTTTTTTTTTTTTTTTTTTTTTTTTTTTTTTTTTGGCTTCTTTTTTTTTAAGATGGAGTGAGAGGAGAAGGAGAGAGAAGGAGCGGAGAGAGAGACACTGGAGAGAGAGAGAAAGAAAGAGAAGAGAGAGAGAGTAGAGAGAGAGGAAGAGAGAGAGATGGAGAGAGAGAGAAGAGAGGAGAGATGAGAGGAGAGAGAGAGAAGAGAGGGAGAGAGAGAGGAGAGAGAGAGACGAGAGAGAGAGAGAGAGAGGGAGGGAAGGGAGAGGAGAGGAGGGAGGAGAGAGGGGAGAGAGAGAGGAGAGGGAGAGGGAGAGAGAGAGAGGGGAGAGGGAGAGAGAGAAGAGAGAGAGAGAGGGAGGGAGGGAGAGGAGGAGAGAAGAGAGAGAGAGGGGGAGAGAGAGAGAGAGAGATGAGAGAGAGATGAGAGAGAGATAGAGGGGGGAGATAGAGAGAGAGAAGAGAAGGAGAAGAGAGAGAGAGAGAGAGAGAGAGAGAGAGAGAGAGAGAGAGAGAGAGAGAGAGAGAGAGAAAGAAAGAGAAGAGAAGAGAGAGAGAGAGAGAGATTGAGAGAGAGAGAGAGATAGAGAGAAGAGAGATAGAGAGAGAGAGAGAGGAGAGAGATGGTAGATAGAACGACAGAGAGAGAGAGAGAGATGGTGATGTTTGCCATTCTCATTTACTATTTTGATTATTTTCTTTTATATCTATTTTTGTTTTCTTTATGGTAATGTTGTTTGTCATTCGATGATTATTTTACTATTTATCTAATTCTTTATCTTTTTTTACATAAGAAAAGATTCCAAAGCACTGATCTTTTGGTATTAATTTTATTCACTGCATTAAATAATGATATTTATATTCATTATCATTATAATCATCGTAAATGATGATGATTCTAAATCGAGATGCATTTCCAATCTAAACATTCCATTATTCTCAGAGAAATCTTTCTAGTTTCAATAACTGTGAAATCTGAGCGAGTCTTTCTTTTGCTTAAGAGAGAGAGGGGGAGGAGGGGAGAGAGAGGAGAGAGGAGAAGGAGAGGGAAGAGGGAGAGGGAGAGGGAGAGGGAGAGGGAGAGAGGGAGAGGGAGAGGGAGAGAAATCTTTCTAGTTTCAATAACTGTGAAATCTGAGCGAGTCTTCCGGTGTCCGTTTTCTCGTTCCGCTCGTGCCGGTCCTCGCGTGACGGCGCTGGTCGCGTTCGGAGTCCTCGGGGCGGTGACGCAGATGCCTCCGTCACGTGCGGGGCCGTAACGAGAGCGAGCGCCGTGTCAAAAGTTACGAGAACCTCCGGGCAATTTATCCGGATTTTTATTTTTATTTTTTTCGAGTACGAGCGAACGAGGGCCATCTGTATCGCGACAACAAGCTAGCATTGCCCTGAAGCTCGGGAGGCGCACACGACGCGTACGTACACGCTAATGTACACGACGCTCCCGGGTGGATGTAGACATGCATGTTACACTCGCTTATGTAGCTCCGCTTTGTAGGAAAATCACGCCACGCACGCAAACACACACGAACTCACGCACGCACGCAAACACTCACACGAACTCACGCAACAACACGAACTCACGCCCCCGCAAACACACACGAACTCACGCACGCACACATACGAACTCACGCCCCCCGCAAACACACGCAAGCCCCGGGCGCGTGTGGCCATGCATGTCCCAGCCGCGTCGCCCCCGCCCGCACGCTCACCTTGGCTCCTCCCCGCCCGAGGGAGGGCGAGGGCGGCGAGTTCGAGGCGGCGACGAGGCTCAGTGGGTGTGTGGCAGCGACCCAGGCCAGAGGTGGGAGCTCCGCCCTCGCTCGGCTCGGCGGTGCTGGTGCGTGGGAGGCGAGGCGAGGCGGGCAGTGTGTGTGTACGCGCCCTGGGTGTGTGTGTGTGCGCGTGGGGCGGAGGGAGGGAGAGAGAGAGAGAGGGAGAGACACAACGCGTACGTACGGGCTGGCTCTCGCGTCCACGCCTGTGTTCCTTTCGTGTGGCGTGCACGTGTTGCGTCCGGGCCATTCAGTCGCGTTGGTGGTGAACGCGAATCTCCTAGGACCCCATCGGTATATTCTGCGAGTGACTAAGACTTTCCGTGCCCGAGGGAAGGCTACGTCGCAGGCGGAACTGAACCAAACTTCCTCGCGAGCCCGGAGGACAAAGACGGCAACAAAGAGAACCCTCGTTGTGCAAACTGCTGCTTCCGTGTCCCACGTATATATGTATATACGTGAGTGTGTGTCCAGATTTAAGCCCCGACCAGGCCTTGGCAGTGTGTATGTACATTGTGAGTATTTCGGGATCTTGCGCTGCGACAGGCTTGCAAAGGGGGTGTCACGGGATCTCTCTTTGGCAGCGATATAATTACGACATTGCTATTTGTTGCCGTGATTTTGCATGCAACATCTGATTCTTTTTTTTTGGGAGAACAAATGAAAAAGAAAAAATATGGGTTTTACTTTTTTGTTTGTCTCTATATTGATGTACATTGACGTTGACGATTATGTAAATCTTTGTCTTCTCTAATACATTATGGCAGAGTGATAAATAATAATAATAGGAAGGTAAGACTGAATAAAGGCAGGAATGAAAAAGAAGAAAAAGAAGTGGGAGAGAGCAAAAGCTGTAAATATTCGGCGCACATTTATTTATTCATGTTTACGAGCCATCGCTCAGAAAGAGCGGTAAGGACGATTGTGATATGGCTATAAAGCTAACTTTGAGCCAATCAGTCACGGCGATGGAAAGTGTTTGGGTGTGTGTAAACTCGCACGCACAGACACACACACACACACACACACACACACACACACACACACACACACACACACACACACACACACACACAACAACACACAAACACTCACTCACTCACACTCACACACACAAACACAAACACAACAAAACACAAAACAAACACACACACTCACATCACACTCACACTCACACTTACACACACACACACACACACACACACACACACACACCACACACACAACACACACACACTGACACTGACACTGACACTGACACCCTCACACGCACACGCACAAGCCAAGCACACACTTCTCACTCGCACTTACAACACACACACACTACACAACACCACACACACACACACACACACACACAACACACAACACACACACATACCACACATACACACGTACAGACGAAGATAAGGAGAAGGCAGCTCTGCAAATGCTTATGTTGAAAAAGGGTATCATATAACCGAAACGACACCGCTCCGAGTTGGCCACGCTGAAAAACTTCTACGTCAGTCAATTAAACTCGTATCTTCTGACAATTAACATCATGAAAAGAAGAAAAAAAAAACGAAATATAATTAAATCGAAAAATAGAACATTGGATATGTTTTTTTTTTTTCCGTGCGTTTACGTTTTATCATTGATATTTTGCTAATTGAAGAAACCGTACCGTATTCACGTTATTTTCCTCGCTTCACTTCTATCATATTCAGCGACAAATACTACCCAAACTGGTAATTACCGTAGAATATTACCCGCAAATCACCACAATCACGTAGAAAGACACCGAACCGCGACAGAATCCCCACAACCGGACTGAATACTCTCAACACCAGTTACAATTTAGTGTCCAGCGGCAATATCCTCTTCGGGTCATTATCATCAACGTAAACAATACTCTCGGTCGTTACGGCAAACAACCCATCATATCCGGAACTTACTGGTATTACTAACGGGCGTGTAAGCAAGCTGTTACACCGTTACTGCGAATAACGGCGTGTAAGCAAGCTGTTACACCGTTACTGCGAATAACGTGCGTGTAAGCAAGCTGTTACACAGTTACGGCGAAGACAGTAAACAAACCTTGTCTTCTGTAAAGCGATATGTTGAGGCTCAGCTGCTGCTGACCGTGTTCTCGACTCGCCAAAATAAGCTAAACGTGTGTTAATGTGTTTCGTAGGAACCTGTAATTGTTCAATGTGTATTTAATATCTCTCACACACATATTTATGTATATGTATATATATATATATATATATATATATATATATATATATGTATGTATGTATGTATGTATGTATCTACAGTATATATGCATGTATATGTAGTATATATACATATATATAAGCACATTTATATATATATATATATATATATATATATATATATACGTACATACATATACATATATATGTACATATATATATATACATATATAATTGCACACACATATGCATATATATATATATATATATATATATATATATATATATATATATATATGCGGGTGTGTGTGTGTGTGTACATATACATATGCATATATACATATGCACACACGCACACGCACATACATACATACATATTTATATGTATATATATATGTATATATATATGTACATCCATGCATGTATGCAAATATGTATACATGTGTATTTTATGAATATATATGTATGTACACACACGCACACACAGACACACACACATATATATACATATAAATATTATATATATATATATATATATATATATATATATATTTGCATCTATATATACGTATATATATGATACATACAGGCACACAAACATATATATACATGTCCGCCGTCCGTATCCCAGGCGGATCCTGGCGACTCAGGTGCTCCAAGGTCTCACCCAGCGAGGCCAGACAGCAGCACTCGCTTGGGCGCACGTCCTGGCTTCAGACGTACCAGCGGTCGAGCAGCTGCAGTTGCTGTTGCTGCCGAATAGCTGGTGCGTCAGGTGGCCAGCGCTGTACGCCGGCCTGGCCATCGCCGCGGCCCGGTCCTCGGCGACGCAGATCTCAGGCGCGACGGCCACTCGCGGGCGCCAACCGGCCGCCATGGCGAGGCTGAAGTCGGCGAGGGTCCCCTGCGGCCCCGACGCCTAACTTTCCTGCACACGCTTTGCAGTTTGAGGCTGTTGGCCTGCAATTCCTGCAGGATCTTGCACACCTGCGTCATCACGGAGAACCTGTGCTCCGGCTTGAGGCGGCCGGCGGGGCCGAAGTGGTCGAGGCTCCGGCCGGCGTAGCGCGTCACGCCCTGACGAAGCAATAGCGAAAAGGCCTTCGGCATATTCGTGTGTTTTCTTGCCCTTCCCTTCGTTGTTCCTGTTGCAATCTGTTCATCATGAATTCCACACACGCGTCACGAGGCACGGCGGCTTCGGACGCATGCCCTCAAGGGCGCTGAAGACCGGAGTGCTGCTCGAAGAGGCTCATGACACGGCCTCAGCAGCAGGATGCGGGTCTTCGCTAGGCGAGTCCCAGTTTATCGCGATCGGCTTCTCTAGAACATCGTTTATCTATCATTATTATCTATTACCCATCGCTAATGGCCATTGTCTACCTATCTACTTCAATATCTTTCATCCGCCTAGCTATTACGTAATCTAATATCACGCGAGAATTGGTAAAAATTCTGTTAACGGTTTCCTCTTATCTATTACATAATGGTTTTATCACAGCTGATCTTCCTGTTTCTCATATTTGGATAAAGATTCTCTCCGCTAAATGGTAAAGTGATATCATGAGAGAGAGAGAGAGAGAGAGAGAGAGAGAGAGAGAGAGAGAGAGAGAGAGAGAGAGAGAGAGAGAGAGAGAGAGAGAGAGAGAGAGAGAGATAGGGACAGTTAGACAGAGAGACAGTTAGACAAACCGATAGATAAAGTACAAGAGTTAATGAGAGAGAGAGAGAGGAGAGAGAGAGAGAGAGAGAGAGAGAGAGAGAGAGAGAGAGATAGATAGAGATAGAGATAGAGATAGAGATAGAGATAGAGATAGATAGAGATAGAGATAGAGATAGAGATAGAGATAGAGATAGAGATAGAGAGAGATAGATAGATAGAGAGAGAGAGAGCGAATAGACATTGTTTTATAAAAAAAAGACTTCACACTTAAAAGATAAACCTTACCCGTGGCCAGCCAATTAACTCGGGTAAGATACTCAAATTGAGATCAACATTTTTATTAAGATTTGTTTTTCTACCGCTTGTCGATTCTGAAACAGGAGTTGTGAAGATAACAACATGTGTTTCTGTTGCTTTTGTGTTTGATTCATTGTTAGATTCATAATTCTTCTCTTGTTTTCATTGTCCTTCCATCTCTCCCCATTAGTAATATCATCATGTTTATTATGGTTATTATTGTTATTACTATTATCTTCACTATTATCTGTCATCATTATTATGTTATCACATTATTATTATTATCATGATTATTATTGTTATTATAATTATCATTAACATCATTATCCTTGCATCTCTCCCATTAGTGATGTCATGTTATTATGGTTATTATTATTACTATTATCTTTACTATTATCTATCATTATTATTACTGTTATCATTTTATTATCATTATCATGATTATTATTGTTATTATCATTATCATTAACATCATTATCCTTGCATCTCTCCCCATTAGTAATATCATCACCATGTTTATTATGGTTATTATTGTTATTATTATTATCTTTACTATTATCTAGTCATTATTATTACTGTTATATCTTTTATTATTGTTTTATCATTTATTATTAATTATTATCATTATCATTAACATCAATCATCATCATAGATATTATCATTGTCATTATCTTCATCATTATCATTATTGTCATTATTATTGTTAACTCATGATCATGGGCATCATTACATGTTATTTCTATCATTATTATATCGTTATTATACTACATATCACCATTATTGCATTGTTCATATCATTTCTCATTATCATAATTATGTTTGTTATAGTTATTACTATTATCGTTATAATCATTATCTTCATCATTGCTATCATTAGTAGTAGTAATAGTAGTAGCAGTAATAT